TTTGGGGGGTCCCGGGGGCGTTCCGGGGGGGGTCTCGGATTTTGGGGGGTCCCGGGGGGTGCTGACCCCCGCCCCCCCCCCAGGCCGTGCACTACGTCAAGGTTTTCATCATCAGCTCGGCCGCGCTGGCGGTGCCGCCCCCCGAGGCCTTCCCGTGACCCCAAACCCCCAAATCCCCCCCAAATCCCCCAAAATTCCAATAAATCCGATTCTATCGCCCCAAAAGAGTCCGAGGCCTTCCTGTGACCCCAAAACCCCCGAAAATCTCCCCCAAATTTCCCCAAATTCCCTGAAATTCCTCTAAATTTCCCAGAATTACCCCCTCCCCCCAAAATTCCCCCAAATCCCCCCCAAAATTTTAATTTTTTCCATTTTTGGGGCCACCCCGGGCAGTGACAGCGGCGAGTCCTGGCCTGTCCCCACCCTGGGGACACCTGAGGACAGCAGTGGGACATTGGGGACACCTTGGGGACATTGGGGACACCTTGGGGACATTGGGGACATTGGGGACATTGCGCTCCCAGCCCGGATTTGTCACCTGGTCAAGGGCAGTGGCTGCAGACAATGGCCCATTGTCCCCAAGGTGCCACCACGGGGGCGGGGACACCTGGAGGGGTTGGGGACACCTGGAGGAGTTGGGGACACCAGGGAGGGGTTGGGGACACCTGGAGGAGTTGGGGACACCTGGGAGGGGTTGGGGACACCTGGAGGAGTTGGGGACACCTGGAGGGGTTGGGGACATTGGAGGGGTTGGGGACATTGGAGGGGTTGGGGACACCTGGAGGGGTTGGGGACACCTGGGAGGGCTTGGGGACACCTGGAGGGGTTGGGGACAGCAGGGAGGGGTTGGGGACACCTGGAGGGGTTGGGGACACCTGGAGGAGTTGGGGACACCTGGAGGAGTTGGGGACACCAGGGAGGGGTTGGGGACACCAGGGAGGGGTTGGGGACATCGCGGACACGGGCAGCTGGGGACACTGGGGACCCTCGGGTGCCGGTGTCCCCCCTTGGGGACAGCCCTGTCCCCGCCCCGGGGCTCGGCCACCCCCGGTCCCCACCCAGGGGACGTCCCTGTCCCCGAGCCCTTAAGTTGGGGACAGCGGGGAGGGGGGTGGCAGCGCCATGGAGGTGACACTGGGGACACTGGCGGTGGCCCTGGGGACGCTGCTGCTGCTGGGGGGTGAGGGGACACCGGGG